TGTGATATATGGATGTGGTAACATGTGATAAATGTATTCAAGTATGATGTATGTTTGTGATAAGAGTGATTCAAATGTGAAAGATGGATGCGATAACATGTTATAAATGTATCCGAATGTGATTTATGGTTGAGATAAGAGTGATCGATTACTGATTAGTTTACTCAGCTGTGATATATGGATGTGGTAACATGTGATAAATGTATTCAAGTATGATGTATGTTTGTGATAAGAGTGATTNCGATTACTGATTAGTTTACTCAGCTGTGATATATGGATGTGGTAACATGTGATAAATGTATTCAAGTATGATGTATGTTTGTGATAAGAGTGATTAGTCTACCAAAATGTGATATATGTTTGATAAAATGTGAAAAATGTATTCAAATGTGTATATGTCTATGATAACAGTGATTAGTTAATGCAAATATGATATGTATTCAAATGTGATATATGGTTGTGATAACATGTACTTAGTTTATCAAATGTGACATACGGATAAATCAAGGATATTGATACATAGAGGTGAATCAATTACCATTACACCGTTTCACCAACCAGTGATTAGGGGTGCTCAAAAACCCGAACAACCCGATCAACCCAACCCAATCCAACGCTAAATAACTCAATCTGAAGCAACTCGATGTCTAATCGAGTTGTAAAATTTTCAAATCGTAGGTATTGGGTTGATATTGGGTTACTATTATTTGAACCCAACCCGACCCAATGAATCAGATATCCTTTTATTTCTTGGATTTAATATGATTGTTGAATTTCTATTAATATATACATTAGAAAATTACACTATCACGTGCGTTTTTTATATACACATTTTTTCAATCTATTCACATATCTATATAACTCATTCGTATATATGTTCAGTAACTGTAAACATATATACGTAAATTGAGAAAATTAATTGAATGTGATATACGTAACAAGTATGGATAAGTTGTATCAAATGGTTAATGATGAAAAATAAATTATGAGTAGAAAAATAACATATTCAAGGTTAGAAGAATATTTTAATGTACCAGAGTATTAACCCGACCAACCCATACGGTGGGTTGGGTTCGGTTGCACTTTCGTTTGGTTTGGGTTGGGTTAAGATTTTTCAAACAACAAGCATTGGGTTTTGTTCAAATGTCTTCAACTCGATCAACCAAACCCATGAGCTCCCCTATCAGTGATGGATAAATGAGAAACAAATGTGGTAGATATATGGTAAATGAGATAAACGTATTCAAATGTTATAACAAAGTGATAAATGTATTCAAATGTGATAAACATATGATAAATGTCAACAAGCGGGTATTAGCAATGATCGAAAATTAAGGGATAAATACAAATAATAAAAATAACATAAAATTTATGCAAAATAAATAATTACATTACTATCCTTGATGTTTTAGTATCATTTACTATAATTTTAATTATGATTTAACTAATTTGGAGGCCCTGGACTGTTTGCATTTTCGCAAAATATGGGTGTTCTCATTTGAACCTCCACACACACACAGAGATATATATATATATATATATATATATATATATATATACACACACACACAGGTGTAGAATCATGTAAAAAGAAGAGTTATAGTGAGAAACATAAGAATGGATTTGGACCATTGATCACCTTTAATCTCAAACCTACCAATGAATCACGTTTGATACGAGGATTGATATAGTGCATCTCGTCTCGTTGCATCTCACCTTAATCTTTTTCTCACAGGAACCAAACCCTATATATAGGGTTGGGTTCGAATAAGAATGGAAGTTATAGTGAGAAGAGTAAGAATAGATCTCTACTCTTAGATCTCTACTCTTAGATCAATCCTAATTGAAGATCACACTAATGTAATACACCGTGATGCACTGGATCAATTCCTGTGATAGGCCCAATTCAAGAGGTGGGGAGAGATTAAAAGTGATAAGGGTCCAAATCATTTCTTATATTTTCACATTAACTTCAATTCTCACACGATCCTTTGTGTATATATACACACACACACACACACACACATAAGGAAGGGTTCAGACGAGAATACCCATGTTTTACAAAAATACGAAAACATGTTTGGCCTCCAAATTAATTTACATATAATAAAAATTAGAGTAAATGAAAATTAATTAGTATTTATACATATTTTTTCTGTTATTCTATTTTTATCTTTATCTCTTAAATTTTGTTATTATCATCAAAAAAAAAATTATGTCCATACGTCCGTTGTCGATAATGATATGATAATACTGTGATAATTATTTGATTTTGTCATGATGATAATGTGATAATAATTTGATACGTTGAAAACTTTTTATGATGTGATTTTATTATGATAAGCATCTAATAATTATGTGATTTTTGTTGGATAACGATGTTATAATCGAAAACCAACGATGATCACATCTACATTCATCGCTTTGTCTGTTCATTATGTGAATTTTTTGCTGTAAATAATAATGTGATAATTATTTGATACCGGTTAATATACTATCTGTATATGATTTTAGAGATAAGAATGTCACCAAAATTACAAATAAATACGAAATCACATGATTATACTTTATTAATTAATTTATTTTCTTTTAATTTAAATCATAGGTTAAATAATTTTGAGGCTGATAAATGTTCTCCATTCTTGTAAAATAGAAATGTTCTCGTTTGAATCTCCACACACACACACATACATGTATATATATATATATATATATATATATATACAAACAAATGAACGTATGAGAATATGAGTTAAGATGAGAATTGTTGGCTATTGATCAATTTTTATATTAACCAACTTATGAATTATATATTAGAAGAGTATTGATTCGTTATATTTCATTAATGTTGATCAGTGTTTCTATATATATATATATATATATATATATATATATATACTATTTTATTAAGCAAATTTAACAAAAGTCTTAAAGTCTTAAAATGCTAAATGTTCAAGATACCCTTTATACTACCCTTACCTTACGTCACTTTTTCACCCCCTTCTCTCCTCACATACACTCACCTTCTCACATACACTCACCCTCTTACAACCGATTTTTTTAAAATTATAATTTTAAATTTACACTTTATACCCCTATAATTAGTTAATTAATTTATTTTACGTCATTTACTTTTAAATGTTTCATTTTAAACCTTTATCAAATTAACATACATAATCGTAAATCAATTAAAACATATTTAAAAAATACATTTTTATTTTAACAAGTTACACAATTATAATCGTCTCGTTAATATCTTCGAAATGAGTCCAATACTGAATAGTTTTTGACTTAATTATATTATTATATATTATATATACTGTAAAAAATATTTTTAATATTTACGATTTATACTTTTATAGTTATTTTTATATATATATTATATATATTTTGGGGTTAGGCTGTCCAAATTGCACTGTATAATATGTTCTGAATTAATATGTTCTTGGGTTTTTTTTTGAAATATATATATATATATATATATATATATATGTATATTAATTCAACCTTAATATGAGTTTTTGGACAAGAAAGAGGGTAAGCAGTTGAAATTTCATTCTAAAACCCATCTTTTTTGGTCTTTTCATGACTTATGATCTGTCAAATTTGTAGTTTTCTTTATTGGTTTTGAGTATTTATCTTAAAACTCAAGTTT